CTAGCGAGTAATGATTATGCTGGTCCTTTTGTCCATTCTAATCAATTAAGGAAATTCTGTTTAAGTTTTTTCCTGTTTAACTTGAAGATAGGATCATGTATTCTGTTAATTGTCGCTATTAACTCGTATCGGCAGCAAGGTGCTAAATTAAGTTGCTTGCTCTAGCTTAATGGTGGACCAATAGTTGGATTTGTTACAAAGTGCTAATTATGGCTCTCAAGTTACTTATCGTGCATCTGTCGGCATTTGGTCATGTGAATCTTTGATTGTAGGTTGGAAGCTGTGTTATCTATTGGAACTCATGTAATCCCACACCCGAGAAAGGTTAGCCATTTATGTCGATTCAGTTGTTTGCAAATCATATATTGGGCGGTGCTTTTGCCTTGACCTGAAGTTCCCTTCTTTTGCTCACATCATCAAGGTTGAGACCGGAGGAGAAGATGCTTTCTTTGTGGGCGGTGATGGCGGTGGAGTATTTGCCATTGCAGACGGCGTTTCAGGGTATGCCATCTTTGCTGCAATGAACTCTATTTATTTCGAGAATCGCTCCAATGAACTGCGATCAGCGCCCTTAGTCTCATCTCTTGTGGTTTGGATTGCTTTCAGCACTTTACAAGAGATATATGTTGCTTTCAGCAATTTGCATTGACACATGGCTTTTATCCAGCTAGTCATTCTCTTATCTACTGACAGATGGGCAGAAAAGAATGTCAACCCAGCTCTGTTTTCTCGAGAGCTTATGGCAAACAGCTCTACTTTTATCAAGGATGAGGAGGTATTTCTATGTTAGTACTGCTGAATAAATTATGTTCCAGTACCATGTCATGTACTACTATTGCGACAAATTAAATATCATGTCTTCAGGTCAGTCAGGATCCTCAAATTCTTCTAATGAAGGCTCATGCTGCAACTTCTTCCATTGGATCTGCTACAGTGTAAGCATGTTCTTACAGTGTTTACAGCCTTCCAGATCACTCATTTTCCTATTAGATGCGTCAAAATTTATACAATTGTGTGCGATGGTAACAGAATCGTCGCGATGCTTGAGAAGACTGGAACCCTGAAAATTGCGAGTGTAGGCGACTGTGGTTTGAAAGTTATTCGAAAAGGTGATTATCAATGAAATTTATATTTATCTTAAGGTTATTAGAATACTTAGTACATACCCATTTTAATATTTTTTTTTCTTCTTCAACATATAGGCCAAGTGATGTTCTCTACATGCCCTCAAGAACATTACTTTGATTGTCCATACCAGCTAAGCTCCGAGGCAATTGGTCAAACATCTCAAGATGCATTGGTATTTAGTTGCTTTTTTTTATTTCTGTTGAAGCACCAGCAATATGACATGACTATTGTAATGTCGGTCATTTATTGCTTTACTGCAGTGATCTATAGAGCCGAACAATATTTAAGTGTTCTTGAAGACTGTTGCTTACTGATCTTGATCCCTTTTGGTTTTATGCCAGGTTTGCACTGTAAATCTTATGGAGGGTGATATGATAGTCAGTGGCTCAGATGGATTCTTCGACAATATATTTGATCAAGAGATCCTTTCTGTCATTAATGAGTCTCCAGGCACAGATGAAGCTGGTAAATCTCTCCCTCTTTCAACTCGGCAACTGGAAACGTAAAACAACATGGTGCATCCTTCCAATCCCTCTGAAAACTTGATGTTTTCCGCAGCAAAAGCTTTGGCAGAGCTTGCAAGAAAACATTCAGTGGATGTAACATTCGATTCACCCTACTCGATGGAGGCCCGGAGTAGGGTGCGAAACAAATACATCCTCCCTGTTATCCTATCACTCTTCACAAGTTTCTTCAATTCTTTTGCTAAAAAATGTATGATATCACACATTTCATTCCGGTTACTTACATGCAGGGTTTTGATGTTCCTTGGTGGAAGAAGCTACTTGGAGCTAAGCTAGTAGGTACGTGACCATGATCCCATTACACGCTGTGTCATGCTCGGTTCCATCCAGCAGAACCAGAAAACCCATGATGCCGTTTTTTGTCGACGCAGGCGGTAAGATGGACGACATTACGGTCATTGTCGCACAAGTTAAGACAGTGGTGATCCCAGATGATGAGGTAGACCTGTAGATTCATTCAGTTTCAATACGAAGTTATTTACATTTTTCACATTGGGATTGTTTATGTGGCGTGGTATTTGCAGGGTAGTGGAGTTGAACTGGAGAAAGTGGGTGGCGAGCAACTCGCTGCTGCTGGAGTTGCATCCACTGAACAGAATGAATGAAAAGGAGTTGTATATATTGAATAGAAATTCATTTTCTTTCCCATTTTGGTCATGTTGTACTATACCGCAGTCCAAAGAAACTGAAGTGAAATGTAGTAGTTGTGAATACCCATGCGTGTATAATTCCTGCAGATTGGGCTTATTAATATGAGTAAAATTACTCTTTGAATATCGACTTATTCAGGAGTGGATTAACAAGCAGCTCAGCTCGTTAAGACTCATGATCATTTAAGTCTTGGATCGTTAAGCTCATTTTTATTAACGGTACAGAAACTAACATTGACCGGTTCATTAAAGTTCGCGAGCACATTAGGGTGACTCCAATTGGCGACCACATTCGGTCCGACCCAGTCCGTTTGAGTCGAAACGGACGCAATCCATGGCCCAACGTGCGACGGCAAAAGCTTGACCCAAATCCGGCACAAATTACGGCCGGAATTGCGCCCAGACGAACACTGGGCAGATGTGTCTCCCTGTCTGTCCCATTAATGTGGAAGCCGTGGACCAGTCCTTTTCCACCGCCGCCTCCTTGAGCCTCGACACGCATACCCTAGCTCCAGTCGCCTCTCCGTCCTCACTCCCTCCGGCCGCCTCCCCGTCATGGGAATGTGGAAGTGAATCCCCGGCGAGAAGGGGAAGCACGACCACGAGGCCGGTTCCTCCCCCACGTCGTCTGGGAGCGCTGCCCTCTCCACCTCGTTGCCCACCTTCTCCGTCTCCCCGCCGATGGCCTCACCGTGTGTGCGGTCGTACGTCAAGGCGGAGATCTGCCAGCGCTACCGGCAGACGGGCACGCCGTTGCCGTGGAGTGACGTGCATCTCCCCAAAAACTAACACCTCGGCCCAGATCGGGTGCCCGTTCCGGTGTGCGGTCGCGCCGCCTGCTGGAGATCAACCGCCGTCGTGCCCGCCTTCCTCCTGACCTCGTCAGCCACTTGAGATACCCGTCGAATCCCCCATGTGGGACGTGTGGTTCCAGAACGAGCATGACCTGTGTCGGCAGACTTTTTTTTGTCAACCATGCTCCGAACCCGCCACGAACGCGCTCTCCTAGCCGCGCGCGTGCTCCTAGCCCGCCTCGGTCGCGCGGTCGTGTGCGGGCTGACACTGATGCCCTCCCCCTTGCCGTCACCGCACCACCACCTCCCACCATGTCCGTCGAGGAGGAGAAAGAGCGGGTGAGGAGGGTCCTCAAGGACTCCGTGCGGGAGCACGACAACGCCCAGTGGCAGGGCCTCGACGTTATGATGGCCCCGTCGGACACCAGCGACGTCGCCATACCGGAGCTGAAGGTGAATGAGGAGGTGTTCAAGGAGCCCCCTATCGCGGCCCAGAACCCGGTCCTTGGGCTGCAGAAATATGAGTTGCTAGGCTTCTTTGCAAACTGGTTGGGTGCCTCGAGAACCCGGCCCGAGGCATGTGCTATATTTTCTTCCGATGCAACGCACGAGCATATTTTGTCGGTTGCTATGAATTTAATTTAAAAGATCAGGTTCATGAGATAAAAGACCTAGTAATAACTTATTTTTTATTTTATCACTTATAAATTACTAAAGGAAACAATGGGTGGTTAGGGAATATATGCAAAAAGAGTAATCGCAATTAAAAACAAATTCGCCCCGATGGATAGGGAATATATGCAAAAAGAGTAATCACAATTAAAAACAAATTGGTCCTGATGGGGCTTGAACCCATGACCTTTGGTATATCAGACCAACACTCTAACCAACTGAGCTACAGGACCTAATTATTTTGTCAATATTTGTTTTTTATTAAAAATAATTGTCTGTTAAAAAAGCAATGACCGGTTATTAGAGAGTAATGAAAAATAGTAATCGCAATTGAAAACAAATTGGTCCCAATGGGGTTTGAAACCCATGACCTTTGGCATATCAAACCAACACTCTAACCAACTGAGCTACAGGACCTTATTACTTAAGTATTATATTTTGTACTTTAAAATAATTAAAACTTTAGTTACGTTTTTTTTGCGGGACATAGTTACGCTCTTTTACTTACACTGCGGCCGGGTTGAATAACTGAATAACTCGGAGAGGTGCTTCGAATACATTCAAGAAATGATTAAAGTCAACCCTGCAACAAATTGGAGGGTCCAGCCATTCGTATTTCAGTGAGTTATAAAGCTAGGTAACAAGAATATTAACGAGCTTAATAAGCTGCTTGTGAAACTCGGTTGTCTAGATCATTAAGCTCGTTAGCTTATAGTAACAAGCTAAAAGCCCTCTTGTTAGAGTCCGAAGCAAAATGGAGCCTCCCCGTGCGTTTGGATTCTGGACCGTTGGATCGAAATCTCCTCGCGATACAGGCCGTCGGATCTCGATCCAAATCGCTGTGGGTCGTTGGATATTTACCGGATCAACCTCGGCCGTCGGATAAAATTCCAATGGCATCAGAATGTAATATCCATGCCCCCACCAGGGCATTTTGGTCATTTCACGTGGGGAGGGTATAAAAAGGGACCGCTATCGTGGGATGACCTAGCCGCATCCTCCCTCCCGCACTCGCGCCTCCCCCGCGCCGCCTCCTGCTCTCCCCTCCCGCGCGCCTCCTCTCCCCTCCCCTCCCACGCGCCTCTTTCCTCCCACCCACATCGCCGCCGCCGCCGCCACCCACCGCCTCGAACCGCGCCGTCGGCGGCCAGATCCGCTGCA